TTGGTCTGAATTTAAAGATAAGATGGATACACTCATGACTGGAAAAGTTTACTACCAGCATTAGAGATAGCTTACAATAGCAGTGTTCATAGCTCAACAAAGAAGAGTCCGTATGAAGTAGAGAGAGGATACTGTCCTCGACTCCCAAGAGATAAGTTTAGGAGCAGAGATGTGGATATCCATCCAACTTCCCTTAGTTTTGCAACAATGCTGAGTAAAGCAAGAGAGTATGCATCACAGTGTCTTAGAGAATCAGTTGAGTACAACAAAGAGAGATGGGATAAAGCCCACAAAGAACCAAAATTTGAAGTTGGAGAACAAGTTCTATTGTCCACGGTCAATTTTAATAACATACAAGGACCTAAGAAGCTGAGAGATCAGTTCCTAGGACCGTTTGTGATTTCCAAGTTAGTTGGAAATAATGCAGTTGAACTCATATTGCATGGGGAGTTGGAACGCAGGCATCCAGTATTCCCAGTGTCATTAATAAAAAAATATCATGCACCAGATACAAGTGACGTAAGGAGACAACAGGAAGTACAAGTAGTGATACCTCCATTTGAACCAGAGAATGAGAAAAAATTCTTGAAGGTGCTAAAAGATAAGAAAGTTAAAAATAAAGACAATGAAGACGTCACACTTTATCTTGTGAGATACAAGAACAAAGGAGCAGATTGGGACGAATGGCTCCCAGCAGATAAAGTACCTAATTCTAAGGTAACTCTTAGAGCATACCGAGCATCTAAGAGGGAGAATCAACAGCAGTAGAAGGAAACCTTCTCTGGTGGTGGGGAGTGTCAGCCCTGAGCCCTGATTACACGACCACGGGCTAACAGTTACATATGTAATATTATATTATTGTATAAATCCATAAGTACATCTCACGGCTCAGTGTCGAGAGCCACATAAACACATGTACGTAATGTATTAAATACGTAGAAAACCTAACCCAAGCGCCAACCACAAGTGAGACAAGAATCACACGCCAACCACAAGTTGACACTTGACCTGTGAATATATAAACCCCCCTTCTTCCCTTGATTCATCCCCCATCTTTTCACACACCACAACATCAGAATCACATTATACTTGAAATCCTATTGAGAGGATCTTTGAGTACGTGATTAGTTGTGTAGTCTAAAAGACCATCTTTGAGCATTACGGGTTCCATTGCTGAACACCCTTGGTATTGACTTCTACGAGCCCTGGGCCATAAACGTCTCTAGAAATAAACCATAAAGCAGTAAAGCTTCCTCCCTCACCAGGAGTCTAAAGTAGCCTCAGGATCTTTGGTTTACCAAAGTGTAAAGCCTGCCCCTCGCAGTCTCACAAGGTTTTAGCGTATTTACGCGTAATAGCCCTTTCCTTCCCCTTTATTCCCTTAAACCCTCTTCTCAGAGGTCAACTAACTGTAGTCTTCACTTGGGTGTACCAATTGAAGACCAGTTTTCCCTTTACCTACACATTTCTCAGTGAAGAGTACGCCTAACAGACGCATACCCCTCACAAGCGCTCAATTCAGCCTGAATGGCGCAGTGCCAAGTATGGAGAGTGGCTTCATAAGATAGATGTACTTTCATTCAATCATCAAGCCACCGTGAAGTTGAGGACTGAAGCAGCTAGGAGATTTGATACTTGACGTGAAGCGGGCAACAAGATCAATCCTTTGGCCAAAGTATGTGGTAATCTTCCAGCAAACTGCTATGATAGTGGGTTTTTGAGGGAATGTGGTGACCTGGAAAAATTGAGATTGGGGGTTACAAACAACCATACACGCCTTGATGATGCACTGCAGGCTATTGCTAGATTGTTGTGAATTGATTCTTCCCACTTAGAAATATAAGTTACGTGTAGTTGCCTGAAGTGACCATGATGTACCTAGTATCAAGGATGGAATATGATTATGCGGAACTGCATCTTCAACACCCCACCAATGGGTATAGTACAAAAAGCAGCGGAAAATGATTTTCTCTGGAAATATCTATTTTAGACTGTTGCAAAAGAACTCATGTATTTTTGCTTCTGCTCTATTGGGCCCCTCTTTTCAAAAGCCAATATTTTACAATGCAGACTCACGATGGATTATGAACATTTTGGAAGCTGATCCAGACCAGCTTTCAAGGGTTCATATTCCATCGTGAACACAGAGGAAGCCTCACCACTGAGAGCTCTGTCCCATGAAGACCAATATTCATCAATTTGACATTTGTATTTTGTTTAATTACTTGGGATAAATAGAAACAGCACCACTTGTTTCTTGGTGAATATGAGGACTGAGCAGTTTGGATAACCCTAACCCTCAGTAGTGACATGTGACAGCCTTGAGTTGCTCCTTACAGTTCCATGTTACATCATGTGTATGCTACATGTTACATGTTGGAAGAGCAGCTCAGTATAAAAAGTCAAGAAGCTGAGGATTCTGAGATTGCACTGTGTGTTCAGTCTCTCATCACTGTTCTCCTTCAGTCTCTCATCACTGTTCTCCTTCAGTCTCTCATCACTGTTGCCATTCCTCTGGATAACCATCCAGATCTGTGCACTCAAACATCACCTCCTTTGCATACCATCACGCTGGATTTGATCTGCACACTGACCAAATTCATGATTATTAGTCAACCATCCAGTCAAGTCTCTCCCTCTAGATTATGCGGAAGTCTAGACATTGTGGTAGTTTAGCTGTAGGGTGATATTGCTTGCTAGAATATTTCAACATTATCTTCACCAGATGGGTGTATGTGTATATAGTCAATCCAATCTTTCTCTTTGAACCCAGTTGAACTAACGTGCGATCAGAGTTATTGACCCTTGTTGACTTAGGTGATTGCGATGACGCCAACTCTGGCTTCATACAGCTTAGCCCGTGCAATAGATATGGCTAGAAGCAAATTGGTGTGTTTTGCTAAGCAAAGCAATTCCCATCAACATATCATCCCACACTATATTTTAGATGTCACAGGTGTCATATACCAACCTTTAGATCCCAAAAGCACTCGATACTCAGCACCCCCTAGTTCAGTCGCCACTCTTTCAATACGTTCTTCCAAGTTGACTACTGTCGCTGGTAGAGCTACCAGCTCATTTCGCTCCGCTTGAGTCCTCCCTCGCCTGCCTCCTCTGCTATTGTCTTGTAATGTACCAAGTCAAGCACTTCATGATGTCAAAGATATTGAAATTAGAGTCAGAGAAAGTTTTTGCATCAAAGAAACCAAATCTAACAACCCTTGCAGAGCGACATGAAGTCCTTCCTCCAATTTCAGTAATACTTCTATCTTCTCCCTGGTTTCCTTCTTTGAATCATTCATTTTCTCTAGCTGACGTGCCTTTTGTGCCGTCCACTTTCCCTCAAAGTAGGCCGTGTCCCGGCCTGGGCACCCATCACCGGGTCTTGAAAGCGACCGGAGGGTATCTTCTGCTTCTGTAAGTCGTTTCCTGGCCTCCGTTTTCTTTTGCAGAAGTTGTTTAACTGCAATCATCAGTAGTCAAAGGTTACTAGTCAGCACAATTGGACTTGTAGCGTAGCTCTTATAAGCAATGTCCATTCATACCAGCTTCATGCCGAAGCTGGGCATTAGCATGTGAAGACCGCAAATCAATCGCGTTCACCCGGTGTTGCGGGGTGGCATATCGGAGAGGAGCAACAAGCGGACTGAGACCAGACCACACCCTTTCACTACCTTCACCATCGGACAGGCCCCATCCGACATTTAGCCTGGGATTCCAGGCCAACTGGCATGTCCACCTATGCACATATGCGTGGAACACGCTTGTGCCAAATCGGATTCGACCCATCAACTGATCCTCTGAAAAGGTTCCTCGCTTCAAACAGCGGTCAGGTAATGACCAAGGTTAGTGATCAACAATCGGAAACTCTCACTTTTTCAATACCTGCTTGCATTGTACACCCAATGTCGTACAGGAAACCTATGCGTCGAGGGGTGGTTCCAAGGTTCCGAGTCAAGTTCAGCATCCACTCTATCAGTGAATAGCTATAGTGAAGCCTGAAACAATTGCATCTTGGTTAACAACTTCGGAAATGCTGTACATTTAATTATTATACACTCACTTCTCGCCGCTTTGCACAATATTGGCAAATCGGAGTGTATGGTCATGACAACATACCATCGCCATCAGGCCGGTTTCATCACATCCAGCCCAATGAGATTTACCTCGAGTATCATTGGCGGCTGTATGTTGATCGGCGCATGCTTGCTGTAAATCAAGATATGTCACTGCTGGTTCAACTGAGGTTCTGTCAACGCAGAACAAGGCGATACACTACCCACAAAGTCATTATCTGTTACACCTTCCAGTCGTGCTCGCATAAGGTTGACTTGCTCGACCGGGTGGAAAAGAGGTGGCATCTTTGTTGGAATCCTTGCAGCTTTAGTTCCGGCGGCCATGTGACGTCGATGCTGGAAGTTGCCATCCATGCAAACAACTATGTCAGGCTCTAATGGCTCGGCCTCGAGCTGGATAGGAGGTCCGAAGCAGGATGGGCAGTTAACCGCAACCTTGTCCAGTGGTGTGAGATTGAGCACCGCGTCCATGGCCAGTTCCGTCATGGAAAGCATCTCACGATAAGTATCAACCGCCCAATACAACGGTGTGTGCCACTGGCGAGGCTGCGAAAGGCATATGTCAGTGAGTTAGTTATTGAAATTCTAACAAGTTTCCGTGAAGTTTACCTGTTCACTTTTGGTAAGAATAAGAGCACAGAATGCATCCAGGAATTCATCAAGGGCACGTGCAAAAGGGCCAATCCGAACGGTGCAGAACTTCCATAATATATGGAAGAACCGTAGGAGGCGGATAGAGAAGGCGGTCTTAGGGTAAGTAGGCGAACCACCAATGAAACCCATGTAGATAAGCCTGGTTTGATCGTGTTTATGACAAGGACAGAATCGAATTCGAGCCTTACGACGCACTGCCCATCAGTAATGAATAAGTTCTGGGATCAGTGCGCTGCATAACTTGGTATCTTGAATCACTTAGAAAAATGCCTGTACATACTTAATAGGTCTACCAAATCAACATCCCTTTCACGCCATTGACTGGAATGACACTGGCAAGCTGGCTTGTGATCCAAGTCCCAAGTTGCAGGATTGCCCCATTCGTTTGTCTCCAAAGCACATGTGAGATAGGCGCGAAACATTTCTTCTGCCGCCTCGGCCAGTAGCAGAGCTTGTGCGTGTCTTTCATCTTCAAGTCGAGCTTGATGTATCTCATCAATGAAGTCGGGTCGAGGTATCCCAAGTTCGTCTTCATCTGGCTGATCAACAATAAGTCCGTAACCCTGAAAGGCGTCAAATTCGTCCTCAGGATCGCGCTGGTAGTTGGACGTTGATGCTGCATTCTGGGTACGAGAGTGGACCTCCTTTTTCATCTTTTGAAAATGTTTCTTTTGTAGTTCGGTCTTTGGCTTCTTATTCCAGTAAGGATTTTTGGCATGGAAGGTTTGAATAACCCCTTCAAATCGAGGCATGTTGAAATCAGATTGGCTTTGCAGAGGAATCACGATGAAGTTGATTTGTGGAGTTTAGGGTGGTATTATGGATAGAGGAAGCAGTTGTGTAATACAAGTGGCTTTGTAATACTGTGACATGCCCCAGACATATTGGCCTGTTGTAACACACATATTCTTGTTAGAGTTACACGCATATTCTATGTGTGGTTGAACTTGTGCTTTATTACAATGGCTGGGTTTGTTGGTTTGCATGCAAACCAAGCTAATAAATGTCCTTTGCATGACTCATATTACATTTATATTATACATAATAGATATTTTTATCCAAAACTGTCTCTTTTAGAAGAAGCAATTTATTATATATTATAATACAAATAATTGCTTAATGGTTTAAGCAATGAATTGTCTATCTTCTCATACATTGTTACGACTGCATGTTGCTTATGCTGGGTGCTGCACATATAGGATAAGCCATTTGGATAATGATTTATCCAATTGGATATCTATCTTCTCATACGATGTTATGGCTGCATGTTGCTTATGCTGGGTGCTGTTCATCATGCAAACCAAGCCCAGCACATCCTTTGCTGGACTCATGATAGAGTATTTTATTCAACTCATTATCTCCTATAGGAACCACACATACATTATAAGGATGTCTGACATAAAGTAACATTTATGTCAGATATAGTTGTTCTTGGGGTTTTTGGTCCTTAAGCTCACGTCAGCATGGGCAATATAAGAATGAGTGTTCCTTTCCTTAACCAGATGTGAATCCCTCATATGCTGTAAATGTAATGTTATAAATGTAGGATATCTTGAACTTATTTCTTCTCATTTTGAGATATCTTCTAATCTGAAACAGCTCAGGTTTATTGAAGTCAGATCCATTAATCTGACTTCATTATTATAACACACACCAGGTTGTTTGGTAAATATCAAGTCATCATCCTCAGTTCAGGTTGATGGTGGCTGATCATTGCTTCTGACTCATTTAATCAGACACATACCAGGTCATATGTTATTTATATAGTCATCTTGACATAAGGTTCACTCATATCAGATGCATACCAGTTTGTATATTGTTATCTATATAGTCATCTTGGCAAAAATGTTCACTCATATTTTAAAATTGAAGATCATCTTGTATCTTAAAATAATTACTCATGTGATCTTTATATCTCCAACAAACTGAATGCCTCAGTATTTGGTTCACAACTGTTGAGGGAATAAAAAGGGTTATGTTTATCTAAAGATGATCAATCCGGTCATCTTTATATCTCCAACAAAATCTATCCCCAATTCCAGCTATATTCTATCCAGGTCCTTCTATCTATGCAGCTCATCTTTATATCTCCAACAAATTGATTCACTCAATACGTGGTACTCAACTATTGAGGGCATGTACTGTGTTATATTTTATTTCTCCATAAAGACTGACTAAACATTTTATTGAGCTTGATAATTCATATATTAAAAAGACTGGTCATCATTCATTCAAGACAACTAAATTTATCTTTATACAATCAACAAACAAATCAAATCTGCCTCATGATTTAATTTGTAACTATAATTTTTCATGAAGAACAGGTTTTCATTGCAATCAAATAGTATGCCTTTTATCTCACAAATGAGCAGGAGATAATGGATGCATGCAAGGATAAGGTTTGATCCTTGTTTCATCAAAGACAATTGATAAACAGGACCTCTTTCCAGTCTTATCACCTCTTGAGTGTAAATGATCATCATTTTACACTCAAGCTTGTCATCTCAGGTAATTAAATGTGTTATATTCTCATAAAAGGTCATATTTCTTACATAATGACTAAACTTCCAAGTAAGCTGGTGTCATCTATATCTCCCACAAATGAAAAACCTCAAGATTTGGTTGTTAACACCAGGACTTTGGAAGTCCAGGGGATGTGACATTTAATCATATTACCTTGAAGATGGACATATTGATATCTCCAATAGTCATAACCTGCCACATCACCTGAGTGAGTCACACTGGTGATGTGATCAAGTCATACTGTTTACTTACCAAAATTTCAATGGTTATTGAACATTACCAAATGTTTCTAACACTGTAGGTTGAAATTGCCAAAATACTCCACTATTTCTAAGGTAGGATGTACTTCAAATACATGATGTACTTCAGATACTTACATGCGCCTATGTAATGCCCAACAGACCTCAGTGGTTACATATATATGAGTGTTTCCAGGTGCTTGTGGAACACATGAGTGGCTATAATAATAGTGTAAATGACCAAGGGTCCAATAGCGCGTTACATGTTACTTTAGGGTTAGGTTTGGGCCGCAGACCTACCTAAGATTTTACATACTTAATACAAATGTGAATTATCTTTAGGATCCGAGACTAGTTTACTTGACTGTTTGCCTTTATTCGATGTGTACAGAAAATCCAACTAACCTTCCACACACCATTCTCGTGATTTCAAATACTTGCCAAGGACCGACAATGAACAACTGCCAATCCAACGACCAAACAGAGACCGGCGCTTTATCTGTCCTTTACCCACGTGCTATCAAGCCAAATCAAAACGGTTACGACTACATCAAGAATCCTTTCGCCAGATACGCTTTTATGAGCTTTCTCGCACGGCGGACCGGTCCGTATCATTGTGAAGAGAGCCTCGAAAGGTTCTGGTCGGGAATTGAATTTGTTGTACAAGTATGTTAGATTATTCAATACCCATATGTGGATCTTTACTAACTGCTCTGTTAAAACACAGGATCTGCAGCAAAAATATACTGAAAAATTCCTTAACACTTGTTGGATGACCTCAAATAAGATTGGGTTACTTCATGCTCCAAAGTATATTGACTTGAGACGTCGTGGCTTGGGAGCAGATGATGCCTTTGGCCGATATAAGCTATAGGGATTGTCATCTGTATGTCACGGTTCCCAATCCAGTTGATCACACGATTTGGTGGATGTGCTTACGTTCCTTTAATCCTTTCTTTAAAATGATAGATGACTTGTGATTGGACCAGCGGATTATCAAATTTTTAATTATCAAAAGGGATTGATAGATAACTTGGCTTGCATTATGGTATCCAAATTGTTTTATTAAATAGTTTGTTTTATTAAATAGTAACTTTGTTGTTAATTTAGTAAAATCAATTCCTTTGGATT